AAATGGCCGAGAATTCCTCGAAGCCATGCACTCCGACGATTCATGCATTAACTGGCACGTTGAGTTGGATAGTATTTATAAACACATTAAAGAACAATGGAAAATACAGAGATCATAGGACAGAGACTAGCCGAGACCAAACCTATCTATCACCTCTCACTTTGTATAACTGTTGATTTTTTCGGCAGTTTTGAAATTTAAGTTGTTCATTGCACTTTTTTGTTAGTCCGAAGACGAGTTGGGGCACCGAACTAGAAAATTTACTCATTAAAGTTATTTAGTCCCAAAGGAACACCCTTTTTAAACGTCTCTTTGTTCGTATCCACTAGAGCGATCCGGGAGTCCCGGCAGCATGGTAAAGGCGCTGCACCCAGACTTTCTGGACGCAGAAGGCCTCTACCACGTGTCAGGCCGGTCCTCGAAAATTCAAAAATGTAGGATTTGGCCAACTACGTAAGCGAACGCAGGGAATCTTTCACCTGCTACTCATGCGACCAGATTCGTCTGTATTTAGATGTGTCCTAATATGCAGTCTTGCATAAATCTACCGCTTCATAAACCAAGCATGCTGTGTGACCAGCTGAAATCAAAATGCCAGTGCTTCGATGGCCGGGAGATCTCGTCAGCCATTAAACTCTACGTGCTAGTACTATTTGATAGCCTGTTGGATGCTGATGCCTTCGCCTCGGACTTGGCAGCGGATCTAGAGTGGTGTCTGCGGACACCGGCAGGCCTGGCACGAACCCTATGGCGAATGCTAGCTGCCCTCACAGCCTGCATTGACTGTCTCGGTGGGAAGAAGGTTAACGATCGAGAGGGGGGATGACGGCCCTCCGAATACGAGGCGAGACTCGGACGGCGTCTACCGAGTGCCAGGCCGGGCGTCCTTTCTAACCAAGTCAATTAAATCGCAAGTAACAAGCATATACAGCAGACTTTATTTTATCAAACAAATTTCGTGACTGCTCATCAGCTGCAGCCTGTATTTGCATGGGATGAATAAAAAGTGGATAATAGCAAAATTTGAATATCAACAACATCGATAAAAGCAAGGTCAATTTGCGCGCAAGTGAACATCCATATTGTCAAC